ATGTGAATCAGATTCGGGGTGATAGTTATGGTGATGTTGAGGCACTTAATGATGAGATTGAGGAGGAATCCCAGTTTTATGTGGAGGCTTTGAAGATCAAGGTGATTCTTGATAACCATGAAGATGAGGTCTTTTTTGTGTGTGTTTGTGTTTTATTTTGCTGCTGTTGTAAAATGAATCAAAATTGAGTCAGTTGTGCTGGAATTTTGTTGTCATATGCTTTGTTATTTTAACATGTGTGAAAAAGATGTGATTCTTTTTATTCTTTCTTTTGCTGAGTTGGTTTGATTGGTTGAGTTCATGGGATTGAAGCTCTAAAGTTAGTTTGGAACCCTTTTCCCATTTGTAAGTTGATTTTTGCAAGAAAAGTGATAGTTTTCCATGTAAACGAGCCCATATGTTTGATGGATTTAAGAGATTTGGTGTTACTTTCTTATGAGTTTGTGCTTTTACCTCATTGCAGGCTCTAAAGTTAGTTTGGAACCACTTTTCCCATTTGTAAGTTGATTTTTGCAAGAAAAGTGATAGTTTCCATGTAAACGAGCCCATATGTTTGATGGATTTAAGAGATTTGGTGTTACTTTCTTATGAGTTTGTGCTTTAGTGCTTTTACCTCATTGCTTATGTTAATAAGCTTCCACTGCTGAGCAAATTTAAGTTCTGTTAGACTAAATTTTAGCCAGTTGTGCGTGAACAGCCTAATTGAAACCCACGTGTGAAGGAATTTGCAAATTTGCAACAACTTATGACAAATTTTCACTGTAGTGTCTTTTTTGGACAAATATGTCCTTCCTATTTTCTTTGTGAAAAAAAATCACTTCTCCAACTGCCAAGAAAAAAGAACACTTGTCGGCCCTAGGAAGAAAATAGGAAGGGCATATTTGTGAAAAACATTTTAAACAAACAAAAAAATATGTGGCATTTTGGTTGCTCCATAAAATGTGGGTAAGTGTGTTTTAAAAAATTTACAAATACTAGATATAATTATAGACTGGACTAGGGCCAGCTGTGCGTGCACAGCCGGGTCCAATCTAGTATATATATATATATACACATATATAGGGATGCGCTCCCATGAGAATAGCTCTCAATAAAAGAAATGAGAATAAATCTTAACCATCAAATCTAAAGATCCAAGAGTTAGAAAAAAGTCACAATTTTACATTCCGTAAGGACAATCTGGACATTTTACAACCACTCCAATTATTAGTGGACCCCACACCTTCACCAAGGCACCAACCCATCTTATTCCAATTCTTCACGTTTCACAACTATTTTATTCTCACCCAAATTATAGCAGTGGGCCCCACGTCAAATTAACCAACACAAATCTCCACCATCTCTCTCTCATCCCGTCTCTCACCCCTTCAAACTTATTCTCACAGTCGCCGACGAACAGCAGCCGTCGGCGAGCCGCCATCTCCGAAATCCCAAATGGTTGTCCGTCGGTAGTCGAACCACCATTCGCCGCCGCTCTCGACGGAGCCGCCACCGCCATCCGACAAACGTCTTCTCTACCACGAAAGAGACGAACACAGACCACACACACATCTCGGGCGCCGCCGCACAACGCCGCCCACCGTCACCAACGTCATCGCATACAAAACTCCGGTCGACTCTCCAATCAACATCGCGTTCTGCCCGCTATCTCTAGTTTTCGCCGTCGTCTGAAGCGCACTCATCCCGAAATTTAACATTCGCCAGCTCCACATATCTCAGACTTGGTCCCCGCCAACGTCCTGCGATTTGTCACCGCCTCTTACTCGTCGAACAAATCTAAACGCTACATCTGGAGCGGAGGAAGGATGGTGACGAGCAGCGCTTTTTGTGTAGCTTAATTTGTGGGCCTAAAAGTTGTAAATTAGAGAAGACTAAAGGGCTCAATTGCAATTCAGATAATTTAATTTTATTTCAATTCAAAAATTGGGCCAAATCTATAATTTATAACAAGTACATAAAAAGTTATTTTTTATATACAAATATATATATATATATATATATATATATATTATGTATTTTAAATACAAAATAATATAAAAAATAAATAAATAAAAAACTAAATACTAAATATATCATATATAATAAATAAATTCGACTATTTAGGTATATAAAAAAATACTACATTGCACGTTAGTAACTATCGAAATGCACAATAGTGTTAGACCAAATGCACTTTAATGCATAGAATAATGCACATTATCACATCGGCGTGAGTTTTTTTCACATATATTAAAATTTCAATTTATTACATCAAGTTTCAGCTTTAATTTAAAAAGAAACAAAATAAAATATATGACCGAAATATATATATATATATATATATATATATATAAAATTATTTTTATATCATATATATTAATTATGTGTTTCAACAAACAATAATATACATTATTAAAAAAAAAAAAAGATAAATACTAAATATATTCTAGTATATAAATAAATTTATAAGTGCATAATAATGTTGATTACAAATACACATTATTAAATTATTCTAATTTCTTTTTTTGCGAAAAAAAAAACCTGAAATTGAAATGCAAATGAATGCATAAAAATATTCGCTCAATAAGTTGCACAATAATAGTAGAAAAAATGCACATTACCTTCTATGATAAATGCACATCGTCAATTTTGGTATTTCATATATTATATATTCACAATAAAAACTAACATAGAAATATTAAATAACATAATTTGAATATTAAATAAATTCTTATATTACAAATATAGCTTATTATAATAATTATGGTAATTTGGTTCACCGCTCTAAACCATGTATTTTAATTTGGTTTTAATTTGGTCGGGAAAAAGTTCGTTTTTACAGATGCACAATAGCGGCTGAAACACTACACATTAGTGTTAGGCGTATTGCACATTAATGGGTGACAGATAGCACATTAGCGATCCAAATTGAAATAACTATAATTTTCTGTCCGAATTTATAGATTTCGGTTATTTTTAAAAAAAAATATTATTTTGACTTCGATAATTCAAATGAAATAAAGTTATTCCAATAATTTTAATATATATATATATATATATCGATTAAAATTGAAATAAACACGCTATATTAAAAAAATATTATAGGTATGGTTTATATATTTTTATGTATTGCGACTCCACAATATTTTTATTTGGATTGCTCAGTAATTACTATATGATTGCACAATATAAAAAAATCAACCAAACTAAAATTTTTAGTTCGAATTTTTATATTTCAGTATAATTACTATTCTCATAATTTCTCTAATTTTAAAAAACTCAGTTACCTCGGTTTTGAATTAACCTTGATTTTTTTATAATAACTGAAATAACCGAACTGTATAAAAATTATTGTTATTATTATTATTATGTATATTAATGAACATTATGGTAATATGTGTTGCAAATAATGACTATATGACTGCAAAGTATCAAATGAAATCATCTAACCTAAATTTTTCGATTCAAAATTTTACATTTCAGTTCAATTATTATTATTATTATTATTATTATTATTATTATTATTATTATTATTATTATTATTATTATTATTATTATTATTATTATTATTATTATTATTATTATT